AAGGAACATGTGGTACATTTACACAATGGAGACCCCAGAAAAAAATAAAACATCTTGAAATTTGTGGGCAAATGGATGGATCTAGAAAACATCGTATTGAGTGAGGTAACCCAGACTCAGAAAAACAAATATAATATGTACTTACTCATTAGTGACTTTTAGACATAAAGCAAAGACAAACCAACCTACAATTCACAATCCCAGAGAACCTAGACAACGATGAGGACCCTAAGAGAGGCGTACATGGATCTAATCTACATGGGAAGTAGAAAAACACAAGATCTCCTGAGTAAATTGGGAGCATGGGGACCGTGGGAGAGGATAGAAGAGGAAGGGAGGGGAGTGGAGAAAAATATATAGTTTAATAAAAACAAAACAAAACAAAAATGTCACATTTCTCTCTTTCTGTCTCTCTCCTCTTTTTTCTTTCTTTTTTTTTTTTTTAAATCAAGCTCAATCAGATGTGGGTTTTTCCACAGTGGATTTTTTTGTTTGTCTTGCTGTTTTTGTTTTTGTTTGTTTTCTGGGCACTTTGGTTTCTTGTTTCTCTCAGTTTAATGTCCACCAGCTTTTCTGATTTTCCTTTAGTCATGACTGAAGTGTTAGAAAACCTCTCCTCTCCTTTCCACTCCTGTTTGGCTTCTTTCCCACCTAGATATGTCAGGTCATAGTGTCTGACACACTTGATGTTCAGTAAGGCAAATGTATTTTTATTAGCCCCCCTGCCCCAGTCACCAAAGTAAAGCACTGCATTTTCAAGTCCTGAGTGTCACTATCACAAGTAGCAATGGAATTGTATTTTCCCAGAGTCACTGAAGTATTAAAGCAAGGAATGTCAGGTTCTTTGTGAATTTTAGTTTATCTCTTCAAAATGTAACTCCTATTCCAAAAATAGTAAGCGATAGTTAACTCTAGGTAAATGTGGGCATGGCCATGGCATGAGAAATGGATTCAGGTTACTCTGCTTGCTGTCTTCCACCATGGAAGAGAGTAAAGTTTGTTGCCGTAGAGCAAAAGACAGGCAAAAAAAAAAAATGCATTTGTCAATTGTATTGGTAAGGTCATAAGAGAGGCAGGTTAGAACAGAGCAAAGGAATAGCTTCTGTCGATTTTTGTTCTTATAAAATTCTTACCTAGTGGTCTGCTAAGTAACAAATTTGTTTTTCCTCACAGTTATAAACACGTTAGCTCAGAGCCAGAGGCTGAAAGCAAATGGCTGTTCAGCACCCAGGAAGTTCCTGACGATGGTGTTTGACCTGCAACTCCTGCAGTCACTCAGCTTGGGGCAGGTGGTCTGCCTGTGCGGCCAAGCACAGAGTGCTTCACAGAACTTCACGAGACTCACTTTCTGTGTGCTTTTTCCTGAACTAGACACAAAATGGTCTTTTTATGATGAAATTGGCGTTACATTTCCAGATGTCTGATAATGTCTTTAAAGTGGGCATTTTGCTGAGAAAAACTTCCCTTCCCGAAGCTTTGCGTGGGTGCGGCACCCATTCCCCCCTCCGCAGCCCGCAGCAGTTTCATGTGTGTTGCTTATGCTGAAAGTGACAAAAGACGTGACACTCAGGAAAATATCTTTTTATCTTCAAAGTTATTGCTTTTAATTAAGATTTTTTTAATACAATCTTTTCTTATTTTACATAGCTTTCCCTGTTCCCACTCCCTCCCTCCTCCTGTCCACCCCCATCCACTCCTCAGAAAGGGTAAGGCTTCCCCATGGGGAGTTAACAAAGTGTATGATTCTTGCTTAAGGCAAATATTTTTGAATGATACAAGCAAATCAAAGCATTCTATTGTCGAACAGCTAAGCCTAGAGTGAAAACGATGGGGAAACAAAACTAACCCCAAACCACTGCCCTAAGAAAACAAGCGCTGTCTATAGACACAGTAAAGTGATTCAACCATTAACTTCGTAGGAAATATGACTAATTTTGAATATTTTAAAAGTTTTTTTTATTTTTGAATTATTTTTATGACGTGCATTCACAAGGCTTAAGAAGCCCTGTACACATAGGTGCAGTGCCCAAGGAGGCCAGTAGATGGTGCTGATGAGTCAGTCTCCTAGGGGTTGGAGGTTCTGATGGTTGTGAGTGCTTGAATTGGTGCTGAGATTAAACTTCATCCTGTGCAAAGACAATACGAAGTTGTAGCCACTGCACAATCTCTCTAGCCACTCGAGTGGGTTTATTTTGTTTGTTTGTTGTTTGAGACAGTCTCACTGTGTAGCTTTGACTGTCCTGGAACAAGCAACCGGTCTCAAACTCACAGAAACTCAATTGTCTCTGCATGGATTAAACATGCGCACCACTACCCCTGGCTTGAATGTATCTTTAATAAATGAGTTCACATTTTCCCCTCTCTTGATCTTCAAATCATATTTTCGTGTGTGTGTGTGTGCGTGTGTGTGTGAGATTTCATCTCCCCTCTATAAGCGCACTACCAAGCTCTACTACTTATTTTCAACTCACTTGTTAGTCATCGCTGGGGATGTAGTGAACTTCCCAGTGAAATGAATGGAATTATAAAATAAGAAACTTTTTGTTTTGCCAGGTTTTCCCCATTTTACCAAGACTCTCACAATACCTAACAATGAATTCAGTAAGATGCAGCATGAACCTAAATCTAAAATAACTGAGGCAAAAATTGTTAAAAACGCACACTCTAACAGAGGCCTGATTTTCCCTAGTCTAACCAATGTGCATGTCAGTTCACACACTGGAAAAAATGCACAGAGCAGTCCTGGTTCTTTAACTGCTGTATGGTTACCATTTTCGTCAGAATTAGAGCTATACTAGTCCAGTGATTTCATTTACATTAATTTAACTCTGACGCTAAACCGAACAAAGGTGGGACTGTGATTTCCAAAGAGAATGTGAACAGCCTTCTATTTAGAATGTGATAATGTAAGTAATGGGGCAAAAAAATCTAGAGGATGCAGGAGGAGCGTAGGCAGGCTCCTCGTCTTTCCCAGGCCAGCCCATTAGTACTCAAACCGGAAGCTAAACCAAGGCCTCAGTCTCCTGCTAGCCTCCCTTTTACTAACTGTGAGAAGAGACTTGAAGGCTGCATTCTCCACACTGAGGAAATAGTCAAGGAAATTCAACAAGTCTGTTTTTCCCTTTTCCTACTTTTCCCTCTGTATAAGCTAAATGGATCCATTTGTAAAGGCATTTGCTGTGAGTCATGCTCTTGATTCATCCTATGTTTGGGATGATGTTCACCCAGTGGCAAGGAGGGATATTTCTAATTGATATGAGGATAATTTTGCCTTTCCTATCATTGTACTTTAATGTGTTTCTTGACTTTTAAAAAAATAACCTAATGAGAATGTGTTGCAGCAATCGAAAATACATATATTCCCTTAAGGATTTTCTTTATGAAGTATGTCAATGAATTTTAGACGAAATAAAAATTTTTAATAGAATGGATTCAAGGAATCATGGTGAATATTTTGGGTACTTTGTGTCAGTTAAATAATCTTTTGTAACAAAGTAAGTATTTGAGAAAAACAAATACAAGACAATGCCTTTGAAAAACTGACTATGGTGTTGGGCCTGTGTAGCTCAATGGAAGAATGCTTGCCTAGCACTCATAAGGTCCTGAGTTCAGTCCCAGTAGCCGGGGAAAAACTCAGCAATAGAAGTTTGGTATGTAGACAGTTAATATGAACTAAGCTTGGATAGCTGAATGACCAGTAGTAACCCCCATGCGGTTTGAAATCAGTGCTCTAACACAACAATAACTACCCTGGAATTGGTCCAGTTCTCCTCCCACGCCAGTCTACCAGAGGGCGGTGTGACACTGTGACTCAAGAAGACAGATTATGATGTCTTCAGAAGTTAAATGGAAGGTGCATCTTGGGAACAGGAAGGGGAGAGAAAGCAGAGTGCTTCTTCCTTTGTGATTTGTAAGCAGCGCAGATGGCCTCACCCCAGGTCCTCCTGCCTTGGCCTCCCAGGTCCATCACCATGCCTTGCTAAGAACAATTGTCATGATGTTCCTTTTTTAAAAGAGGGAGAAGGAGAGGAAGAGAGTGAGAATATAAATCAATGGAATAGTGGTGGAATATTTTGACAATATATTGAGCAGATACAAATGACAGTGTGTTTTTGTAAATGTACACTATCTAGTGTCCAGAAACCAAGAATGGCTATTTTGGAACATTACTTAATAATTTCAAATGCAATTTTTTTAAAGATTTATTTATTTATTTATTTATTATGTATACAACATTCTGCCTGCATATATGCCTGCACACCAGAAGAGGGCGCTAGATCTCATTACAGATGGTTGTGAGCCACCATATGGTTGCTGGGAATTGAACTCAGGACCTCTGGAAGAGCAGCCAGTGCTCTTAACCTCTGAGCCATCTCTCCAGCTCTCAAATGCAATTTTGATGATGAAATTAGCTATTCCTGTGCTGGAGAGATGGCTCAGTGGTTAAGAGCACTGACTGCTCTTCCAGAGGACCTGGGTTCAATTCCCAGCACCCACATGGCAGCTCACAACTGTCTGAAGATCCAGTTGCAGGGGATCTGACACCTTCACACCAAAGCACATAAGATAAAGTTAAATAAACCATAAAAATATTTTTTTAAAAAAGAAATTAGCTATTCTCTGCATGTCTTCCAGGGCTTAAGAATATTTTGGGTGCATTGTTTTGTTTCCCCAAAAATAACAGTCTTGGAAATTAATATTAAAGTGTGAAATTTTACTAAAGTTTTTTTATTTTGTTTCATTTTATTTGATTTTTTGAGACAGGGTTTCTCTATAGCTTTGGTGCCTATCCTGGAACTAGCTCTTTTAGACCAGGCTGGTTGAACTCACAGAGATCCACCTGCCTCTGCCTCCCAAGTGCTGGGATTAAAGGCGTGCTCCACCACTGCCCAGCAAGGTTCTCTTCAGCAAGGTTTTTCTTCAGTTGTTGTCGTTCATTCTAAAGGTTTTGAAAATTGTAACCAGCATGTTACCTATTAAATTGTTCTAACCTCTTTCAGAAATAATTGCTAGGAAAGCCTCCGGAGCCATGGCGAGTTCTGACGTGAAACCGAAATCAATAAGTCGCGCCAAGAAATGGTCAGAAGAAATAGAAAACCTGTACAGATTTCAACAAGCAGGATATCGGGATGAGATTGAATACAGACAAGTGAAGCAAGTTGCCATGGTAAAATTTATTGCTCTTCAAGCTTGCTAAAAAACCAGCTTCACAGAGGGCGAACTGTATCTTAATAACAGGGCAACAAAACACTACTGAAGGGAATTCTCTGAAACTCCCATCTCAAGACAGGGAGATGAAAGCCCCTGAAGTGGTCTACAAGTTGGGGGCCAGTGTGGTCCTTTGGCTGGGCACATTCACTTTCTGGACTACTGTGCTCTCTTATACACGAGTCTTCAAACGGTCCTTTTCCTTACTCTGGTAACTCTATTATCGTATATTCAGCTGTGGTAAAACATTATTTCCCCTCTGCTTATTTTGACAGTAAATTAGAAAGGGATTGTATATGCTGGCTTCTTCTTTTCTTGGTTTTTTTTTTCTGTTATTGTTTTTGTTTCTCGAGATAAGATCTCAATGGTCAAACCAGGCTGATCTTGAATTCACTGCCTCAGATAAGCATCAGTCCTCCTAGGCTAAGCATCAATCTTTCCAGGCTCTGGGATTACAGGAGCAAACATCACATCCAGCGTAGCTACACTCTACAATTAACAACTAATTTAATATTAATGGATAGCAAGCTAGATAACTCACACCACTGGGTGCCTCCCAGTTTAACCATTTACCTGACCAGGGAGTTTTCCCTCCTGCAATTCTTATAGATGATGCTTACAAAGTGACCTTGAGTTCTCTGAAGAGCCAGTAGGTGTCTACACACTAACAAGGGTGTCTTTGGAATCTGGTGAAGGGATAAGAATCTGTCCTGGGGTCTCGGGAACAGCCCCTTTCCCTGCTGGTGGCAGCTCTGACTTAAGCGCTAGAAACAGCTGTTTCCCCCAAAGCAAATGCAGGTGGACCTGCCACGCTGGCCAGGTGAGCGGGGTCAGTTCCGGGTCAGTTCCTACTGTCACATAATTAAAGCAGGCGAGAGAAGACACAAAGTCCGTGCATTGTGACACATGCCTGAGATCCCAGCTCTCAGAAGACTCAGGCTCTTAAGCCTGGGCTACATCGGGAGAGTATGTCTCAAAAAAAAGCAGGTGAAAGAATTGGAAAGGAAAAGCGGGCAAATTTACCAGAAAATAATAGACACGGTTCCCCAAACAGTTGCAGGCTGTGATTTATAGGAGGGCTGGGAAAGGGAAGGGCTGTCCATATCGGCCATCTTAAAGAAAAGGGTTTGATTTTCCAAAACTTGAACTTTTGATAATGATAAAGTATATCTCACAAAATTCAGAAGGAACATTTTTATCAATAAAAAGAACACATTGGGTCCCAGAATGCACTGTGATGAGTTATGGACCAAAGAAAAGTTATTACCTGAGACTTAACAAGTTCCTAGAACACATATGCATGCGTTCAAGCACACACACACACACACACACACACACACACACACACACACACACAGTGGCTGGACATGTGGCTTTGTTAGTAGAGTGCTTGCCTTGCATGCATGAAGCCACTCTGGGCTCCATTTCTAACACCACTTAAACCGAGCACGGTTGTAATTACACGCCTGTAATCCTCAGGTGGATGGAAAAGATCAGAAGTTCAAGGTCATCCTTGGACTACACAGCACAGACAGAAAATTATATGAAACATTGTCTGAAACTAACAGCAAAGCCACCATTTATTAACCTGATCAAGAAAACATAATATTGAAGTTGGAGAGAAAGAAGAAAGCATACAAATCAGATCAAGGCAAATGATAAACAAATCAGAGTGAGACAGAACAAGGACTAGTGGGGAGAAGAAAGGATAGCTGAGGGCTCATGGGTTCAAGTTCTATTAAAAATTGGACTTGATCATGAACTTGAAGCTTGGGTAGAAGTGCACAGGTACTTCTTCAAGACTACTGCCTTCCTTTAGTCCAGAGGTTCTCAACCTTTCTAATTCTGTGACATTTAATACAGTTCCTCATGTTGTGGTGACCCCAACCATAAAGTACTTCATTGCTATTTCATAACTGTAATTTTGCTACTGTTATGTATGAATTTTAATACAAATATATGATGTGCAGGGTATCTTATGTATCCAATGTTCTGCCTGCCTGTATGCCTGCACGGCACACAGATCTCAGGGGTGATTGTGAGCCACCATGTGGCTGCTGGGAATTGAACTCAGGATCTCTGGAAGAGCAGCCAGTGCTCTTAACCTCTGAGCCATCTCCCCAACCGCCAGACGTTAATTTTCGATGCAAGTTGTTTGATGGTAAAATACGATATGAAATAAAACCGGCATGATCACATTCTTGTCCTTGCCCTTCCCGCCCTTCCCATGCAGGTGGACCGTTGGCCAGAGACGGGCTACGTGAAGAAGCTTCAGCGGAGGGACAATACTTTCTACTACTACGACAAGCAGAGGGAGTGCGAGGACAAGGAAGTCCATAAAGTGAAAGTGTACGCCTACTGACCTTCTCATTCCTTTGGCTTGGCAATCTTATTTTAAGAATTCATTGTTAACTCTTTCCATCATGTAAATGTCATTTTACAAAACAATTCAAAATGCTGTCTTTAATTCAGTGTCTTACAACGTAAACACCACGGAACCTGGTACTGGCCAGACCAGTCATCCTTGCCGGTTCTGAACTGTTCTGCAGCTGCACAGAGTCTTAGACTTGGGCCCTGCCCCTCTTCCTCCTTCTGAGCACTTTAGTGGCTTCCTTGGGAATTCAACCCTTTGGAAGCCCCTCCAAGGGTTAGACTATGTATTTCCTTACAGCAGATCAATACTTCACTCAGAGCTCGCTCCTAGCCTTTCTCTGCCTACAATAGCACTCGTATTTTCTGGCCTGAGGGTTTTGTTTTTTTCCTCTTGGTTCTTTTCCTCTTTCAGGACATACTGGAAATACAAAGTATGATACCTACCCTGGAGGAGCCCTCCACAAATGTAGAAATGTGCAAATGTAGAAATGTATCTAACGTGCATGTGACTGTATGTAGGGTTAGTCCAGCACCACAAGAAGAGCAAGAACACACACACACATGCAGAGGGAGGGAGGGAGGGAGGGAGGGATAGAGGAAGGGAGGGAGGGAAGGAGGGAGGAAAGGAGGGAGAAGAAAAAGAATGGAAACAAAAGAGCCAGAGAGAGTAAAATAGATTACACTACTGTGTAAACACAAATATTTATATTTTTTAATGAACTCTTAATGATTTATCTACCAGTGCTGGGATAAAACACAAAACCTCACAAAGACCATCTAGTCATTATGCTAGTAAGCTACATTCCCAGTCCTGGCTTATTTAGTTAGCTAGTTAACTGTGAAACATGGTCTTGCTGTCTATCCAAGCTGTCTTTGAACTCATGACCACCCTCCTCCTTTAACACTTCCCACCAGTGCTGAGATAATCACCATTTCTAAGCCATGGGCTCTCAGAAAGCAATTGGGCCTTGAAATTTGTGTTGACAGCACCCAACGGACACCTTGCTGTTAACTGTTTTGAGTTGAATTATGTCCTTTCTCCAAACACATCTAAACCCTACCCTGCAAGTACCTTTGAGTGTGATGGGAATTGGAGTAAGATCTTTAGAGGAGAAGTCAAATTAAAACATGGTCATATTCGTGGGTCCCAATCTTGTGAATGGTATCTTTAAGATCTGAAGATTCAAAAATCATGGAGATCCAAATTGGAGTGAGGAAGTCAATTTTGGGTGACGTTACATCACACATTGCCAGCAACCAGAAGTGACAAGGAGGAAGCAGAAATTACTGCTTAAAGCATTCAGAGTGAGCTTGGCTGGACAGGCACCTTGACTTTGGAAAATTTGTCTTCAGAGCCAAGAAGACACTGTTTCCTGTTGTTCAAGCTGCTTGTTTTATGGTACTTTGTCACAGTGACCCTGAGAAATTACACATCACGCCTGTAATCCAGAAGGAGGAAGATTTATTTATTTATTTATTTATTTATTTTTCCGGCTCATATTTTCCAAGATTTTGGTTTGATGTTAAATGGCTTCATTGCTTCTGGGTATGAACGTCATGATGGGAATTGCATGTTGGAACCACACAGCTCACCTCATGACAGCCAGAATACAGAGAGGAGCCAAGGACAAGGTAGCTCCCCCAAGGGCAGACTTCCTCCAACAAGTCTCATTCCCCCCCCCCCCCCACTTTTTAGTCATCTCCCCATAATCCCATATTACAAATCCATCATGGGATTAATTCATTGATTAGGACAGAGCCTGTAGGATCTGGTTACTTCCTGGAAGTCCAACAGACAACCAAACCCCTTGCATATGGATCTGTGAGGGATGTTTCACATTCAAGCCATATTGTGCATCTAGCGATGCCAGGGGATGTGACAATGGTTTGCTGGCTTTCTCACCCCACATCTTACCCATCAGTGGGAATGATAAAACTTCTCTTACCCAGTTATCACGAGATTTAACTATGTGGACCATATGATGAGTGGGAATTATGCCCTGTGGGCCCAGGTATTTGCATACTTGGTCCACTGCTGGAGTCCTGTTTGGGGAGACTAGAAAGCCATTAGTCAGGGAAGCTGGAGATACTACAGCACCAAGACAGGCGTTGAGATCTTGTAGCCTTGGCCCATTTCCACTTTGCTTTTTCTCTGCTTTGTGTTTGTTTTTGAAGATGCGATATCCTAGTTTCCTGCTGTGGTCTCTTGCTGGCATGCCTTCCCCATCATTATGAACCACTTCCTTCCTCCTTGAACCAAAAGCCATAATAGACTCTTCTGTAAGTTCCTCTTGGTTATGATATTTTACCACAACAATGGAAAAGTAAATCATACAGATTACCACGCATCAGTGCATTGATTCAACTTCCGATCTGACATTAGAATCACTCAGGCAGCCTTTAACAAGGATAGCCATCTCCTCTCTCTGTTTACCAATCAGCTTCTAGAAGCCTCACTTAAATCCATTTAGTCCCACTTTCCCTCTCTCCTCTCTCCCTATCTTTCTGGCCTGCTGGTTTTTTTTTTAAACCATACTGATAGTCAATTCAAGGAAAGTTTTGCTTTTGTTTCTCGCATGATGGATCTAATAGTGATTCCACTGCTTGCTCTGCCAGTGGGCGCTTTTTGCTTCTTGCTACACAGTTCCGTTGCTGACATTATGACTATCCCATTCAGCTTGGTTGAAGTACCAGCTCCATGGCAAAAGGGACCACAACTTCATTGTGACCTAGTGTCCTTAAGAGCTCTCAACAAAAGTGCTTGTCTGAGGCTTCCACCCGCTCCTTGAAGTATGTCACAATACATCGGTGCCTCTCCCAGAAAGTGCTGGGAATCAATAGGCTCCTTTGTCACTGGAAAAGAGCCGAGTCAGGAGAATAAGTTCAATCAGGTGACTCGAAGTTCTCCTGCTCAACTTGCATCCAGATCACAGAATCTATGCCTGTGCCATCTCCTGTTACTTCTAATTGTCTGATATCTGCCTGGCTTTCTATCATTTAAATATTCAAAGGCTTCAGAAAGACACCAAAGAAAGAGCTAGGGAGTCTCTACGGGGTTTGGGCAATTTACTTAGTGCTTGGCTGTGGATGCTGGATGGACAAGGACGTGCATTAGCAGAACGGAGGGTTGAGTGCTAGTGCCCAGAGTCATTTGACTAGTCTCAAATGGGTCTTCTCTGCTTGTCCGTCAGAGGTCATCATATCCTCCTGTGTTTCACCAGCTTCAAAGAAAAGAAGTGGCTGGGAATGAGCTTCCCACTCTAGCATCTACCATTCCAGTCTCTGACTTCGTAGGACAAGGCCCCTGTGACTTCAAACCCTGACATGTTTCCCGTGTTCCCCTTCAAAGGCTGAGGCCTTTCCTGTGCCTTCTGTTCTTACCTTACTCTGAATCTTCCATTTGTCCCTGAGAAAAAGCACCAGGCACTATATCTGGTTGCTACAGCAGCTATATCATTCATCACACAAGAAAAGCACGGTTAAATTTATTAGGGGACGGAAAGGGAAAGGATACCATAGGAAGGTGTCACTGTCGTATTATTATGTATGTCTCTTTAGGAATAATTCCCTCCCAAATGCCTAAATCTTGCTAGACCATGTTCACAACATGGTAGAGGACAGTTAAATGTAAATGTCTCACCTGGTCTTCCCCTTGCGGAGTTGATAGTGTGAACTATCCAGGGCTCATTCAGGCTTCCCAGGGCCGCATCAGGCATCCTGTGTCTACTGTTCTATTGGCTGTATCCATACACGATGAATTGCTGTCATGTCTCTGCTTTGGCTCGAGGGGTCTGTCCTTTTTAATTCGTAGTTTTAGAGCAGGGAACTGTAGGTGGCTGACGGTGGCATTGCCACTAGCTTGTCTTTTTGAAGCGTTTCTATGGAGACTTCCCAAGTCATAGTCCACCTTACATAGAGTAGGAGTGGGTCTGTAAAGCCTGCATTAATTCTCCCCTGGGTGAGTCCTGCAGGTAGAAGATCTGAAGTTTGTCTCAGTCATTTATTAGCTCACTGTTATCCTTCATGTCTTGTGAAGTAGGTACTTTGGTCACTTTCTCCTATCTGAGGGGGTTTATACCTCAAGTTCAACCTGGTAAGTTCTGGTTTTGTCATCTTCTAGGTGGCTCTTTACTGGGAAAATCATGACAAACATTTGACGTCTGGTGGCAGTGTCATGTCAGAATCTGCCAAAGCATCTTTCCCTGAGCTTGGTACAGGATTGGCGTGGTCTCTCTGCCATCTCCAAAAGGGTGGATTCCCTCTCCCAATGGCACTTTGAGTACTCCTGAGCACACATTGCTGGCAAGAGCATGTGATGGCTATCACACTGACGTGAACCCCTGATGCAGAGCGCCAGCCCACGTGGTTCTCTAGCTTCTGTGTTAAATTCAGCTTTGCAGCTAGGAGGCTACATCTTCAGGTAGAATTCTTCAAACCATTTGATCTTGGCAACTTGATCAACTTTGTCGCATTTAGGTGACTAAGGATTGGTAAGCCGTAGAACACCAAGTGTTTCCACAAATCCTGCCCCACCCATCTTTGAGTCTGCCACTGAGGAAGCTACAGTGTAGGACTCTTGGAAATGACCCACTGTCAATGCATTGAATTAGGATTTTCTGCCCTTGTTATTAAGATCCGTATTGATTGGAATTTGGCCCACTGACTGCTGGAACCTTAGCTTTTATCATTGCAGACATTCCCTGTCTTTGGAAGGTAGGTTAATGCACTCCACTGCAAGGGGTTTCCCTTTACCTACCCATCAATGTACAGTGTTTCCTTGAGGATCAGGGGCTCCCCTCCCTTCACTGATGTGTACAGTCTGGCAGTTCATGGAGAAAACCACCCCATCTTCTGCCTCATATGTAATGGGACCCAAAAGTATTACAGCTTTCCACCCATCATTGTCAAAGATACTTTATTGAACCAAGGTACTCATCTGGGCAGTGTATATCCATGGATGCATTTGCTGTATCCAGCCTTTGAGAGAGTCAGGTCATTCTTATTCTCATATAAATTGCACACTGGAACTGGGCAGGGAAACTTTTTCAAGTATCTACAAATGAGCCAGTTCCATTCAAATTAGGAAACTTTTTTTAAAAAGTAAGTTCATGTAGCCTTCTGACTTGAAGATGTGTCCTAAGGGAGCAGCCTTCCAGTTGAATCCTTCCATCTGGGACCACTCTCACCACATTCATAAGGTTCTCCTTATATAGGGTCTATATAGGGTCTGTTTAAGACCTCCATACGGGGTTGTAGTGTGGACAATTTCCCATACAACATTGGAAGACTCTCAAGGGTGGTTATCCCTTGTGAAGTTGATGCAACTTAAGAAAAAGTCAACAATTAGAGGATTTGGTAGGATTTAAACAGGTCAACACCCTGTTTAAGATGGGAGCCAGCAGATGCTTATTCCTCAAAAGAGCAAAGAAGACGGCAAAAGCAGGAGAAACATCATCAGGGGTGATGTTTTGCTTTGAGAAGGAGAAAAGGTTCCATTCTTCCGTGAGCACATGACTCTCCGTGGTTAAGTGCAGGACTCTGGTTCCAGGAGAGAGAAACATGAAGAGCCAGAGCAGGACAGGTTTCAGAACAGCCCCAGCCAGCAGTCAGGAGGTTACATTGTTTTGTCAAGGGAAGTTCAAGAGCTTTCAGGAGTGCACAGGTGTAGCTGTTCTCTTCTGGGTCTTCAGGGGCAGGGTATCCTTTAGGACTACTCTGGAGGGGTTGGAACACAGCTGTCAATTGCCAGCAGTTTGCTAACTATGGAGGGCACTTAGGACCACTTGGAAAGGTCCATTCAATTGAGGACCCAACTATTCTGCGGGTCCATCTTTCTAGGTTTTAAGGAGGAACCCAGTCTCTAGGGTTCACAGTCTTTCAGGTTCCACCGTTTGGTTTGAGTATAACCTTGTTTCCATTTTTGTATAGGGCTTGTTGGGTTTGTCTTAGGTCTGTTCTCTACCTGGTCAGATGACAAAGGGCCTGCTTTACAGTAACTCTACGGTCTGATCCCAGCATTAGACACTGGAGCTGTTTTAACTCTCATGAGGGTGATAGGTAATCCTCAGAGAATTCCTGGCAAAGCTTCCCTAGAACCTATTTAATGGTTTGGTTAGTCATTTCAGTTTTGCCTGAAGACAGTGCTCTCTGAGCAGAGTGCAGATAGTATTTCTTCCCAGAGCTCTAGATATAGACTGAGTTCCCTGTGAAGTAAATGACGATCCACTGTCTCCCTGGGACGAGTGGGTGAGGTCAGACCCTGGTATAATTCCTTTTAGGGTAGCCCTTGCCACTGTAGTCACCTTCTCAGCCTGGATCCAGCCAGTCCCGGCGTCTACCAACACCAACTTGAAGCTGGCACAAGAGGGCATATGAGTAAAGTCTACCTGCCAATCCTCATGCGGCAAGGTGCATTTCCCCTGATCTGGCTCAAGGCTTGGTGGAGGAGTAGGGTGACCGGAGCTGTTCTGTAAGCAGGGTATACAGGCTTGACCCTGACATACATTTTTCACCGTGCCAGTCAATCTTGTTGGAAGAACAGTTGAGATAACACTTAGAGTGATGTCTTTTCCCACGTGAAATGAGTCTTGTGTTCCTTAATTATTTTCCATTGTAGGACTTGGGATCGCATGTGTTACAGCTCTGGAGGGAAAGGTATCCCGACTGTTGGAAGTTGGGCCATACCTCCGGCGGTGAAGGGATGGTGTCCTGGATACCTACAGCTCTATATACGACTGCTGCATGCCAGACTGTATCTACAGCTGTGAAGGGAAAAGTGTCCTGTTGGGAAGTCAGACTATACCTACAGTGCTTCTGTGGGGGGTGAGCTCCCGGCAGGATGTGGCAAGCCTGCTCCTCTCTTAGAGAGCCTTTACAGCTCAGCTCTCCTCCACTCTGCTAACAATGTTTCCCAGCAGAGATGTCTGTTGCTTCTCTGCTCTGTTCTGGCAAAAGAAGATCTCCACCCAAAATTCATTCAAGAGATTTATTGGGAAGGAGGAATCCAGGAGAATGGCTGCCTCTGCCAGGGTAGAAAAGGGCAGCTGCCAACTGAACAGGCACAGGGCTTATATAGGGCTTCTTAGGGGCAGAGTTTTTCCAGGGAGATTTTCAGGTCAGATTTCAATCCCTGAGCTTGGACAAGCTCAGAAATTGTCTGGATTTCATGCTCAGGAGTTGGTTGGTTTTCCTGCTCAGGGACTGGTTGGTTTTGTGCTCATTGGTCAAGGGCAGAGTATGTTTCTTTGGTTCTGGTTTCAGGACCAAAGTGTGTTTCTTTCACTGGCCCTTTTTTAACTTTTTGCCTCTAGTTTCAGGACCATGGTGCATTTCTTTCCCTGGCTCTGGTTTCAGGTCAATGTATATTTCTTTGGCTCTGGTTTTAGGGGTGGGGTGTGTTTGTTTGGATGGCTCTAGTTCTAGGTCAGGGTGTGTTTGTTTGGCTGGCCATTCTACCCTACAGGGGTAACAGTACTTTATTATCAACAAAGACTAATGAGCACTTTGGTTGGATGTCCCCTTGATCTTGAGCCCATTCCTTCTCCAGGAGTAAACAGTCAAAGGACTTGGAAGACTTCATTTTATTTTTTGAGGCAGGGTCTCACTATGTAGTTCTGGCTGTCCTAGAACTCTCTATGTAGACTAGGTTGACCTTGAATTCACAGATCTGTTAGCCTTCCTGTTCCCAAGTGCTTAGCCCAGCTAAGACTGCCTTTTTTTCTGTTTCACTGTTTGCCGGTCTATTTTCTTGGGCACCATCAGGCATATCCTTCTGATGGCCCTTGAAGTAGATGATTATCACTTAATTGGGGATTTGGATGCTGTCCATATACTTACAATATCTTGTTTATGTCTTATGGGTGAATTGCTGACCATTAACAATTCTTGATTCTTCCAGATAGCATCACGGCCATTCTTGACAAAAATATTAATTTGCATGTGTGTGTGTCTGCACATGTGCCATAGTGGTCAGAGGATAACTTGCAAGAGTCAGTGGCCTCTTTCCATTGCCTGGGTTCTAGGAATTGAACTCAGGTCAACAGGCTTCATGGCACCTTTACCCATTTTTCCTGCTGGTGAATGCACATTTTGAGCCAATGTAGTGTAAATAATTTTCCTTCCCTCAAAAGAATCTTATCAGGATTATGCAAAGTCAGTCTTTTAGATGGAGACGGAAAGAGGTAGTAGGGAGGTTTCAATTAGTTTCAATTACTTTTTTTGTTTTGTTTTGTTTTGTTGAGACAGGGTTTCATTGTGTAACAGCCCTGGTTGTCCTGGCACTAGCTTTATAGACCAAGCAGACCTTGAACTCAGCAGAGATCTGCTTGCTTCTGCTTCCTAAGTGCTGGGATTAAAGGCGTACAACAACAACACCCAGCTCTCAATTTCTCCTTTTGGCTGACCTCTCTCTTCTGGGAGAGCTTCATACGCTCCACTTAGAACAGGACCACTTCCACCAGCAAACAGTGTCTCTGTGTTATGCAGGGTCTGGTTACTTAGGTGAAACCTATGGGAGAAATGATCTCACCACACAAATATTCCAAATTGGAAGAAGTTACCATGGGAAACAAGGGGGCAGACATTAGCATTCCTCAGGCTTTAATAGTCACCTCTGGTTGTCTGGGAGGATTGCTTCATATTTGGTTAGCATACTTATGGTCAATCACAGGTGCTCCCTCAATTCTAGTACAGCTTTGTCTGGTGAGGCCTAAGGTTCTGGTGACTGACCCAACCCACAGACAGTGTAGAAGCTTCTTCAGCTTGCAGTGCACCGATGGCTACAGCTCTTGGACAGGAAGGCCACACTCATGCTACAAGGTTCAGTTCCTCTAAGAAACAGAGCAACTTGAACACCAAGTCAACCATTTTGGAACTTGCTTTCCTGTCACAAATAAAAAATAGAACTTTTAGTATTGGACATGCCCAATGCTGGTCCTTCAGTTAAAGACTACTTTATTTGATTAAAAGATGTTTTCAATTGAGCATTCTAGTTGAGAGTCTCAGAATCTGTGCCCTTGATAGCCTCATAGAAAGGTTTTCCCTATAATCCAAAGTTAGAAATACAAAATCAACAAAACTTGGCCATCCCTGGAAAGGTCTGAAGTTGTCTTTTTGTTCTTGGTAGAATTAATTGATTTATGTCCCTGACTCAAGATGAGGGTAGTTACTATGACTCAGGAATCAAGACCAATCCTAAATACTATATTTCCTTTCAAGTTATTTGGTCCTTTTCAGGGAGAAATCTGGTGGCCTCAGGAGGCCAGAAAGTTTAAGGTTTTGATGGTATTCTGGTCTGAGATTTCTGTAGTAGGAATATATACTAATGGATCATCACCATAGAATGATTCCTTGTGGGAAAACAAGTTTCTAAAATCTTTTTCTAATGCTCAAGTAAAAGGGTGGGGCACATCCCCTGGGCCCTTGAGGGAGGACTGGTCAAGTATATTATTGACTAACTCTAGCAGTTGGGTCCTCCCATTCAAAAGCAAGCAAGTACCAAGAGGAGGGTATAAAGGAGCAAAGCATATCTTTCAGGTCTAACACTAACAAGAAACCCTTATTAACAGGATTCATTATACTTAGTCTGGGGTGAAGAAATCCAGTTAATTGTGTTACATACCTGTCTGCTTGGCTTGACTACTGAAATGATTGGGATGTAACAGGGTTGGGATGGTAAGGAAACATCAGGTCATTCTTGATGATTTAGTCTCTTCTCTCTCTCTCTCTCTCTCTCTCTCTCTCTCTCTCTCTCTCTCTCTCATTGGTTTTTTGATACTGGGTTTCTCTATGCAGCCTTGGTTGTCCTGGAATTCACTCTCTCTGTAGACCAGGCTGGTCTCAAACTCACAGAGATCCACCTGCCTCTGCCTCCCAAGTGCTGGGATTAAAGGCGTGGGTCACCACCACCCAGCTAGCCTCTCTTTTTTAATGGATGCTACTTTTATTGTGATAACTTATTCTCATTATAATGCTTAACATTCATTGCCAATTTCACAGAATCCTAGAATCACCTAGGAAACAAGCTTTGGGTCATGCCTATTGGGGATTATCTAGATTAGGTTACCCTCTAGGATGCCAGTGAGGGGTTATCTAGATTAGGTTACCCTCTAGGATGCCAGTGAGGGGTTATCTAGATTAGGTTACCCTCTAGGATGCCAGTGAGGGGTTATCTAGATTAGGTTACCCTCTAGGATGCCAGTGAGGGGTTATCAAGATTAGGTTACTCTTTAGGCATGCCTGTGGGGATTATTTAGATTAGGTTACCCTCTAGGCATGCCTGTGGGTGGTGTGGGAGAATTATCTGCATTCTGTCAATCATGTATTTTAATAAAACGCTGATTGGCCAGGCAGGAAGTATAGGTGGGTCAACCAGACAGAAAGTAGAGGCGGGGCGATGAGAACAGGAATATTCTGGAAAGCAGGAAGCTCCCTCTGCCATTTCTGCCCAGACCACAGAGAAGCAACGTGTGATCTGCCCAGCTGAGAAAGGTACTGAGCTGTATGGCTAACGTAGATAAGAATAATGGGTAACATAAGTTATAAGAGCTAATAAGTAGCCTGACCTAATGGGCCAATCAGTTTATAACCTAATGTAGACTCTGTGTTATTTTCTTTGGGACTTGCCGGTTGTGGGGTACCGGGCAGGACAGAAACCCCAACAAGCCAGCCCTCACACTACATATGGCGCCCATGTTACAGTGGGGATTATTTAGATTAGGTTACCCTCTAGGCATGCTTGTGGGGA